CGGATGGGAGCGCCGCCGCGCTTCCCAAGCGGCGCACTATCCAGTGCGCCACCGGGCCGGCCCCTTTTTGTCTTTTTTACTGACCAGTAACGGGATCGCAACCCTCAGTGTTGCGCCTGCACCGCGCTCAGCCAGTGAGCGGGAACCGGTCTCCACATGGGATCCGAACCCTCGGCGGGAGCGCCGCCGCGCTCCCAAGCGGCGCACTCTCCAGTGCGCCACCGGGCCGGCCCAGTCCTTTGCTTACTTCTAACACCGGGGAACTTCCTGTGGGAACCAGTACTTGAGTGTGTGGTTGTTTAAATTGCTGCTTTGCTGCCGTTTCCCTAGGGAAGGCTTTTTGTGTAGCTCAGGGTTTAATGGTTGATCTTATAGGTACTTCCGGCTCTCCAGAGACCAGTGAATCTTTGTTCTGTGGAATCTCTGATCTGGGCCTGAGTTTTTTTCATCAAACTGCACCCCATGCAATTCTGCATTCCTGACCTTTCTCCTCTGAATGGTTCTGTGCTGATTGGGGGGCAGGTTGGCCGTCCTTGCTGTGGCCCAGTGTTCCCTGGTGGGCACATCTCCCCCACCACCCGTGCTCCAAACACTTCCTATGGGACGGGCCCTGCACTGGTTCCTTGTGATGACTCACCAGCCTCTGAATGGCTCCCTTTTTTCAGTTGTTCTGGCTCCTCGCTCTTGTGTGGGTCCATGGGAACCTTGTTAGTGGTCTTGCTGTCTTGGGGGCCACCAAGGCCCTCTTCTCTCCTGCCACCTCCAAGTAACTCCATCTGAAGGGCACAGCTGCGGCTCGCGCCGGCTCCTGCTCCATGTGCTCATCAGCTCAAGCCTTAAAGCAGCCACGGCCCGAAACGCTCAGAGCAGATTTTTCTTTCTCTCATCATGGTTTCTCCCACCTTCATGAACTCTGTAGGTCTCTCCTCCTCTTCCCCTGAGCTGCAGCTCCAGGTTGGCTGATGTTACATTTTTATAGTTGTAAATTGGTGGATTTGTGGGAGTGAGTGACACTGAGTACCGTCTATTCTGCCATCTTGACCGGAACTCCCAAAGTTTTGGCAGTTTCTTAAAATGTTTTTTTTTTTTTTTTTTTTTTTTTTTTTTTTTTAAGTCTGAGTTATTATAATGGAATCTTTTAATTGAATGTTTTGGGTAAATCATCCCCAGTAGAAATAGTTTTTCTTTTTTTTTTTTTAAATGTAGGGATTATGGGAGATTATACAGAAGGTCATTTGGAGGAGTGTCTATTGGTTAAGGAATTATTTTATATAAATTGTTTTCTTTATGATTAGTTTGAGTTTAAAGTATTTATATAGTTTTATTGATGTGGAAAAGGTTAATCATATTTATTAGAAATAGTAGATACTGGGCCGGCCTGTGGCTCACTCGGTAGAGTGCGGTGCTAATAACACCAAGGCCCCGGGTTCGGATCCCACATAGGTATGGCCGGTTCGCTCACTGGCTGAGCGTGGTGCTGACAACAACAAGTCAAGGGTTAAGATCCCCTTACCAGTCATCTTTTTTTTTTTTTTTTTTGTCTTTTTGTCTTTTTTCCGTGTCAGGCAACGGATCGCAACAAAGTGGCCTTGGAGAGATGAA